GAACCCATTCCAACACTGTCATCACCACATATGCCGATGACACATGTATCCTATCAGTCAATAACGATCCATCTATTGCATCCCAAACTCTTCAATCACACATCACAAGTCTTGAAAAATTGTGTCAAAACTGGAGGATTAAAATAAACTCCAATAAATCCCATCAAATTACCTTTACTCTTCCTCGTAAACCTATGACTTCCTGTCCTACAGTATCCTTTAACAATACCCCACTTATCCCTGTTGACCAAATCCAATACCTAGGACTCCACCATGACAAACGACTCACTTGTAACCCCCATACCAGACTGAAACGACTAGAAACCGCCCGACGTTTCCGACTACTCCAGCACTTACTAGACAAACGCTCTAAACTGCCAACTATTTACAAAAGACTCATATATATTACTATAATAAGGTCTATTTGGACTTACGGGATCGAGCTTTGGGGTTCTACTAAACCATCAAATTCCTCTCGTATCCAATCCCTACAATCCAAAATCCTTCGTAAAATCCGTAATGCTCCCTACTTTGTCACAAATAAAATCATCCATAATGACCTTAATGTACCATATGTTTCCGATTTAGCTCAATCCAGATACCTGTCCTTTCATAATAAACTTTTGAACCATCCGAACCCTCTCGTTTCCAATCTTGCTTCCTCTTCTATTCCTGATAACCTCCGAGGCGTCTGAAAAGAAGATGGCCTCGGGACCTTCTAATATAGAAATATAATTGGAGTGCTACCAATGGGTAGTTTCTCCTCATGTTGTACATGTCATATTACTTGTGCATATTTACTTGTTGTATTTATTATTAATTACAGTTGTTAATTTTGTTAATAAAAAAAAATATATATAATTAGTATTTTAAAATAAATTAATATCCATTCATATTATATTATACTATTTATATAATTAAAGCTTACATAAGTCTGTTATTGTTTTAATTACTTTATAATCCTGGAAGAAAATTCATTGTACTAACTTCCTAATAAATATGAATGTATTGTTTCAAAATGTAAAACTTATTGTGATTTTGTCAACAGTGTTGTTCTTTAGATGCATTATAGTTTCAACTTTAAAAACTTTTGCAAGAAATGAGACTGAACACCTCATTTTATTGATTATTAGTTTAATGGTTATTTTGTTTTCAATATTTTAGTCCATGGTACAGACTCCTTTTTATCGAATTTGATCACAAAATCGAGAAAAAAGATGGCCTTCAAAAATATTGAGCCGTTTGGTGTGACCTATGTCCCCAAATTTTCAAGATAGCGAGGTTATATAGGACAAACGATGTAATATTTGTGTTGGGCACCTTTTTTTTATCTATTTTGTGATCAAATTATCTTACAATCCAAGTAGAAACCAAATGTGTATTTACGAGTTTTTAATACCTAATTAAATAAACAAAGTTTGCTCCCCCTCCCGATTAAAAACACTCCAATTCCAAGAGTTTTCGTAAATAAAATAGTTGTAGGTTACGATAAGATAAAATTATTTACGAAGTTTCAGGCGGATGTTAATCATTTGATAAAAATGGGTCCTTACCACGGATTATTTTGTGGTGTTTTGTTCCAAAACAAAGTTGGAGCAAATAAGTATGTTAAGAATTTTTTTTTTTAATGATTTAAACCAACCTTGGAAAACGTTCTCATGATTCTTCTCCTTTGTTATTCAATAGTATTAGAAGTGGGCGAGGTGGCCGAATGGGCTAACGCGTGTGCACTGCAACCTGATACATAAGAGTCTGATAAAAAAATAGTCAAGAGTTCGCGTCCCGGTGCCCAGAGGAGTTTTTAAAATCCCCGCCCACACTCCCTGGCCCGATAAAACACCCGTATAGCCTTAAAGGCGAGGAACGGGAGGACGAAAAAAAACTTTTTATTAATGTAACAACTGGCTAATGTCTATTAAGAGTTGTGTCCGTTATAGAGAGCCACTGTACCAGTATTTATTAAACTTAAAACATTCTCTTATGTCTAAAATACTGATTATACTGTTGATAAAAAAAGAAAAGAAAATACGAAAACATTTTTTTTTTTTCTACATTTTAACTAGTTTGTTAATTAATAGTGAGTTATATATTAAGAATGAATTTAGATTATAACTTTACAAAATTTTTGCTGTGTTTTTTAAAATGTTGCTCTTTTTTTGTGACATTAAGCTGTCATAAATAGATAGAATGGAAATATTTTTTGAATGTAGAGTATTATCAGATTGAGCAGCTAATGACCTGGTTTAAGTAGTAGTTTAGGCCTTAGTAATCACAATTAATGATTTAATTTATTATAAAATTATCCAAATTTTATAACTTTGTAGATACAATCTTATAAAATCAGTTCTATTACATCAAAAAAAATATAATTTTGCTTGTATCTAATATTTCTTTGATCAATTTCAAGTGGAAATCCAGGAAATCCAAAGGAAAATAGGAAATCCAAGGTCTGTGTTTTTTAAAGTAAGTCGTTTTTTGTTAAATAGGAAGCGATAACTAAAGAAATATTTAATTTAAGTAATTAACAATTGCTTCACTGTAAACCAGTCAAAATTTACTTCAAATGAAAATAGAGTTTGTCATTATTAGAACCATTTAAAGAGGACTTCTGAGTGGCTAAACTAACCTAAGTTCTGTTTTTAAAAAAAGAAAAAAAATATTTGCAATATTTTTTATCATTATCCCACTATAATACAGTTACCACACCTTTAGGAAAACTTCCTTATTGCCTAATGAACCTCACATTAATTAATATGGACTTAGAGCTTATTAATAAGCTTTTCCATATTGATTAAGTTGAGGTTTATAAGGCAAAAATTTGGAGGTTTATTAAGAAAAATCTTATCGATAATTTGATAAAAAGGAGTTTTTAGCGCGGACTGTAACTTAAAACCCTTGAAAATGTCTGTATGAAATGCGATTGAACCAGATTTTATTGATTATTAATTTACAAATTATTTTGATTTTGTGTTTTCAGTGGTTTGTTGTGAAATGATATACGCGTGCATGCAGGTAGAATATATTTTTTTCTAGTAATATATTTTTACTAGTATGAATATATCATAATACATTAGTGAGGAATATATTATGAATGATTATGGGTTATAAGCTTACAAAATTATCACAAGTTTTTTTACAATTTTCTATGCAAAGATTGCTCTTTCTTCCCCTTTTTTGTGACATTAAGTTGTCATAAATTTACAGAAAATGGAAATAAAGGTTTGAATGCATGTGTTCATATTTTCAGATTGTGCAGCTGATGTCCTGGTTTGGTGGATATGGATTGTTATAAAATAAATGATGATTAGATTTTATGCTTTTATAATTTAGATTTTATTTACATTAAAAAATACAATTTTGCTTGTATCTAATATTTCTTCCATCGGTTAGCTCCAAGAGGCTGCTGAAGATTATGGATCAATTCCTGCAGAGTTCATAATTACCTTTAAATAAAGAAAACTATTAAAACATGGTATTATATAATATCACAAGTTAATACAATTTGTTGATTATGACCCTTTGCATTTAAAATAATTTAGTCCATTTTCTCTCTTAATCGCCCTATGATTTTGATTTTATGTGATTACAGTCAATTTTTTTTTTTTTAATGAAGTTTCAATAACTTGAGGTTCTAACTTTTGAAAGCTCTTTGAAGTGACTATTTAGAACTATTTGAATGTTAAACAACAATGAGCCCAACTTATGAATTATGGTCCTTCATTCAAAGACATAGTAATTTTAAGGTTTTTATGTTGCAGGCATTTCAGGCCAAGCTTGTGGGCCATAATCAGTACTGGTAAAATGCTCCAATGATAACCCATATCATCATCTGGGCATGTTACTAGCATTGGCGATGACCCGCATGCTTAGGTTGAAACCTAAAAAAATAATATAAAAATCTTAAAATGACTTCTTCCTGGCAATCACCTATCGTGATATGTAGAACAATTGACTAACTTTCTTCAGTAGCTCATTTATAATTTTTTTTACATATATATATATATATATATATATATATATATATATATATATATATATATATATATATATATATATATATATATATATATCCTCGTTCCAATTTACAATTTGATCTTTATAAGGAAAATTTTGTATTACTACTTCGATTTTACTCTGTAATTATGTTATTATTATTGAGATATTGTATATAGGTATGTATGTGTTCTTTTTATTCATTTATTTTTAGGTTATTTTATTCTCATTTATTGTATATATATATATATATATATATATATATATATATATATATATATATATATATATATATATATATATTATTTTTATGTATAATTTATTTTATTTACTGTACATAGAGTGTGAATGTGATATGTGAACACTATTATAAATGTCCTTGAGACAGATTGTAATATTTTTCAATAAAGAAGCTTAAAAAAAAAAAAAAAAATTATTGAGATGCCTCATTAGTTTGGAGTTCATGACTTGTTTTATATTTTTGTAATATTGATGGTTTCCAAAGTCTATTTATTCTGTTTGACAATATTCAAAATCTGGGGATTTTCTAAATAAAATGTATATTTCATCTTTATGCTATACTGGGCAATTTAGTAGTAGAAGTATTGAAATTTCAAGCGGTTAGGGAAGTCATGTGAGTTGACTTACTATAACTGTTTAGCCACTAGAAAGCACTGTGTAATAATTTGTAATTTTCCCTTCTATTTTTTATGCCTGGCAATTTCAGAAAAGTGGTATTTACCATTGGTTACCAATTACGGAGATTGGATAATCAGGAGTCCACTGCTATTTCAAGCAGAAGTTTTACAGGTTTCAGAGAAAATCCTGAACACATGTTCTAAACATTGAACTATCCTGCCAAAAGCTGAATTTTCGGTCGCCCTGATCCTGAGCCATAGCCCGTGAGAGAGATAGACATTCCTGATTTATGCTACAAACTATTCAAAGCCTGCTAGAATAGAAACATATTGATTAGTTTATATAAATAGAAATTATAGGTAGCTTACCTCCTAAACAAGTATTCGTCATTATAAGATAGCATAAACTTTTGAAGGTAACGTACTTCCAGGAACCGTCAGGTTGACGCTCCCGTCCACACTGCCACTTTGTTTCATTTGGACACTTAATGGGGCACTCGGCGGAGTCTGCTTCCCAAGCTAGCACCAATACTCCTGTCATCATCCATAAATAATGTTACTTACTACTAGGTTTTGGTAAATGTTTAAAAAAAAAATATTTATTATATGAGGGAAGGAGAGAGAGAAAGATTTTTTCTATTCCTCCTTTATTTGAACTTTAACAAATCCAAGGGACTAAAAGAGAAATTATAATTATCGAGACTTAGAATTATCAAGAAGAAGCAAAATCGAATTATTAAGAGTTTTTATTATAATTTTGGACACATGGATGAGTTTACATAAATTTGTATATATACATAGCCTCATAATATTACAAATTAACTAACTTTATCCGACCATGCGCTGCTGTGGCTTAGCCTGGCAAAATGAAAATGAAAGAAAATAGAAAGCATATATGAGTAGATTAATAGCAAAGGACATCTGTCATTTTAAAAAAATTGGGAAACAAATTTGATTGTAAAATGGCTTCAATTTAAACTAATTCTAATGATTATTTTCTCATGATTCAAATTGAACATTCATAATCTTTTGACTGAATACGCCGTCATTCATAATCAACAGAAACAGTCTAAGTTGAACTTATAAATCTAAAATAAAAAAATTAATATAAAGAATGTATAATAGTATTGACCTAGAATAGAATAGAATAGAAAAATAACTTTATTCTGGGACACAGTCCCTTGAGAATAACAAAATAGAACAAAATTAAAATATTACATCTGGCCAAAATAAAATCAATAAAAAAAAAGAAATAATGTAAAAAAACTATAAGGTAAAAATTCTATATACAAAACAAACGAAACTATATACAAAACAATTAATACTATGACAAGACACTTAAAGCTATTTGCACTGATAAACCAGTGTACACTTTTAAGAAAATAATAAAGAATTAAAAAATAAAAATGTATTAAATTCTCTATTAAAATCAGCTCGAATGGTTAGCAACTATCTGACTGTTTTTGGGATAGGAATTGGAATAGGAGGGTTTTGAATGTGGATATGGATGGGAATGTCGAATTTTGATAGGGAGGGAATTCCAGAAATTGACAGAGCGAACAATAAAGGAATTTTGGAATGAGGCAGATCTGTGAGAAGGCAAGTAAAGGTTAGAAGGTCGAGATCTTGTGGACAGGGAATGGACTGAGGATTTGAACTGGAGAAGGTTGTAGGCGTAAGAAGGACGATGGTTGTTTATGATTTGGTAGAGGAACGTACCTAGGAAATATTGTCTTCGAAAGGAGGGGAAAAGCCACTATAACTCAGCGTAGTGGTGAGAAACATGGCAGTATCTTGGGGCCCCGATCACAAATCTTACGCAGCTGTTCATTAGTCTTTTCAGTCTATCACGGAGCTCCACAGAGAGGCCATCATAAACCTCACACCTATAGTCAAAGTGGGGAGAATGAGAGAGGAAACTAGGAGTCTATGCGTATGTTGAGGTAGGAGATGGCGGAAACGATGGAATAGTTTGAGGGTGGAAATTGTCCGTTGAGATATATGAGAAATATGGTGATTCCAAAAGAGGTTTTGATCAATAAAAAATCCTAAATTTTTAACAGAGGAGTAGAAGGATATTGGCTGATCGTCAAGGTGAAGGATGGGAAAGTCTGTATGGGATCTAAGAAGGGGCTTGGAAGCAATGACAATGGCCTTAACCAGCAGCATTTAACCTTAACCCATTTACATTTGCCCAGGCACTGATTCGATCTAGGTATTCTTGGATCTTGGCAAATGCCCCCAGTAACTCAGGAGGGAAAAATGATAGGTACCTCTGTGAATCGCCTGCATAAAGGTGATGGGAACAATGGAGAATTGATTTAGGTAGGTCGTTAATGTAGGAACTGAAAAGCAGAGGATATATGCTTGAACCCTGGGCAACTCCAGAGGATAAAGAAAGGAAGGCAGATAGTGGTTGGTTGGGTATGGAGACTGCTTGGGCACGTTGTGAAAGGAAAGATTGAAACCAAGAGATGGAACTATTGGAGAAGGATAATAATTTCAGTTTGTTGAAAAGGATGGAATGGTTAATGGAATCGAAGGCTTTGGTGAAGTCGAGAAAGATAAGGATAGTTAACTTTTTATCATCTATTGCAGTTTAACTTTTTATCATCTACTGTAGATGACGTTGCTGGTGATTTTAATTAAGGTGGATTGTGTGTAGTAGCTGGGACGGAAACCAGATTGGAGAAGATCAAGTTGGTTGGGCTTTTCAAGGAAGTTGGAGACTTGGGATTGCACCAAACTTTCTAGGGATTTTGAGAGGTTGGAAAGAATTGAGATTCTCGGGTGAGGTCGGATTAGAATTTTTATTCAAAGGAAGGACAATGGCTTTTTTCCAAGATGTAGGGAATACTGAATTCTGAATGGAGAAATTGTATGAGATGACAAAAAGGATACTGGCATTTGGGAAGAGGAGAGGAGGTTTTGTGCAGAGTCTATAATATAGAAATCTAGCCAAGTGTCGGACCCTCTAGTATGGTGAGTAGGAGAAAAAGGAACGATAAAGAGGTGAAGGGAGAAGAATAGGTCTTCTAGATAGGATTTGTCATTGGAGTTAGATAGGAAATTGGTATTGAGGTCACCTGAGATGATTATTCTGGGATAGAGGAGAACGAAATTGAATAGGCTAGATTCAAAGGAACAAGAGGAGGATGTTATACCACAGCGTAGAGGAGAGGAGAAGTATTACAAAGGATTTCAACTAATAGGTATTCAATTTGTGTGTGGTTGGAAGATGGGGATAAATCGAGGATTCGGGTCTTCAGGCTATTGTGGACAAATATGGCTACTCCACCGCCAGTCCGGCTTACCCGGTCATGAACGAAGAGGTTGTAATTAGGCAAGGAGACAGAAGAGGAGGGGATATAAGATTTGAGCCAAGTTTCGGAGATAGCTATATGGTAAAAATTTTGAGTGAAATATTGCAGGAATTCGTCATAGTGGGCGGGGAGCGTTAACATGACAGGTGATTAAAGTACTAGGCATGAGAAGGATTTGGAAGGAAACAGTCAGAGTTCCGTAGAGAAACACTAAAACAAACAAAAAATAAAGAAAAGCTATTATAATTAATGGAAATGAGAAAAAAGAAAATGTTTAAAGAAACAGAAAATAGAAAGCATATAGTTAATAATACATAGGCTAATCTGAAAGCGAAAATCTTTCTTTGAAGGAAATTTTGTCAATAGTTATTTTGATAAGGATGAAGGGTAGACGAATTCTGTGTAGTCCGGTAAATATATCGAGGTCCGAGGCCTGTTCGATCAAGATAACTTCCCAAAGTTTCATGGCGATCGGATGAATGGTTTGGTAATGCACACAAGCGGATTCAGAATTTAATTTCGGGGGGCTTCAGCCCGAAAGATTTTTTTTTCATATACATATAAGAATAATTAATTTGAAAAAAAAATAAAGAAATTAATTACCTATATGAAATGGTGTTTAAGTGGTTCTTGAAGTCCTATTAAATATAATTACACGAACAAGAAGAGATAGTTTTTAATATTTTTTTCTGTAAAACATGGTTATATTTTACCATTTTTGGGAGAGGGGGAGGCTTCAGCCCTAAAGGCCCCCTTTATATAATTCTGGACTTCACCACCATTTTTACTTTCACTGACCTTTGTAGGAAATATATAGTAACGGACAGTATTGTGATTGTGAAAATTTTCGAATCTAAGTTTTCAACGGAAATACATGTTTTGAGTTCTGAGTCCAAATAACCATGTCCTGCAAAATGGTATGTGCATGTGGTATGTGCAAATTTGGTATTGGTGTATACATATTTGAGGAGTCTAACTCAAAAATGAAAAGTCCTATGAAAGTCCAATTGCATATTTGAGATTTTTATAAGCCTTGGATGTTATAATTTCAAATAAATATTGGAATAAATAAAAAAAAAATGTGTGCTTTTTGAATTATTCGCAATCAAAATACTGAATTTATTATAAAAATTTATGCAAATTGTTTTCGGGAAAGTAATATATAAGAAAATACATGAATTATAAAAATTTCAAATGGAAAACTTTAGCCAAGTTTCATTGAAATTCTTTAATCTGTATTGGCGTAGTCTTAAGCCAATCACGTTTTTCGGCCGCCATTTCGAAAGGAAAGTCCTGATGATAATGAAATGTACACAAAAACACTTCTAAATGTTATTGCGACGTTCTGTCAAAATTTCAAAGAAATCGGGTAAGAGCTTTCGGAGATTAGCTGTACTAAACAAACAACCGTTTATATTTTTATTTACATACAATTTCATATATTTATTTCTCGATAACGCTGAAGCTCGTCAATAGTTATTAAACAAAAACAGAAGGAAGAAAATCGGTTGAATAATAGAAGAGTAAATGGAGCTGAACCGTTTTGTGTTTCCCTATTTATATAATAATATTTTTGGGTTAGACTTAATGATTTTTTCTTCATGTCATTTACTAAACCATTGATAACTCCTGAGGACTTTTCTATTTCAACGTTGTCAGAACCATTAGAAAACTGTATTATTGCTCTCCAAGCCTTTACAATAAATTTTAGATATGACGCCTTTATAAAGATAATTTTTGTTTACTTCTTTGTTATAAAGGGGAAAATATGTTAAATATATATATATATATATATATATATATATATATATTAAAAATTTATATATTTATGTATTTATATATATATATATATTAAAAATTTAAATTTTTTTTTTAAGGTGCACTGGTAGGAATCTTTGGACATTGGTCTAATATTTTATCAAAAGAAGATATTTAGTATCACCAAAAAAAGTTTCATTGAATTGGTGATTTCCCGGATGTAAACTCTGCTTGTTGATAAAATATAATTTGAAATATTTAGTGCGGTATTTATAAAACAATCTTCAATAATAATATAAACAAGTGGACAGAGATAAGATATCATGTCAAAATGTTGGTTACAATATTTATAACAACACTTTTACTCTTTCTGAATTCTCTGTTTTTAGTAAATCTTAACCATAGTTAATAAGTCGGCATAAGATCACGAGGTCTGTTAAACCAACAAAAAAAAAAGTTGTTCAGTAAAACTAAATGTAAACGGGATTATTATCGTTGGTTGTAAAATAAAATCGGAAATACAACCTAAACCTAACCTAACCCATCAAAAGACAGACACAATCAGCTTTGGCATACTAAGGTCAGTATGATATAATCTTTAGTTCATCAATCATGTTGGAGTGACACTTGCACATTAAAAAGTAATGATAAGAGGAGGAAGAAATGAGTAATAAAGCATTGTAAATTAGAGGACAGATTATTATTATATTTGGAAAATTTTAGGGAAGTAAAGTGTCGTTAGTTAGCTGCAGTGCTTTAGGGCACTAGCGGATTCAGGATTTCATTTTGGGAGAGGTTTCAGCCCGAAAGCTTTTTTTTCATATATTTAACGACAACTATTCTAAAATAAAAAATCTGGTGCGCGCAACACACAACTTTCACTTACCGATCTACTTTGAATAGAAATTATTTTTTGGCAATGCTGGGCTATTATAAAATTTTTTGAAGTGCATTTTAAACGGAGCTAAAGCTTACAGATAACAAGTCATTAAGACCATTATAATTACAAAATGTCTATTTGATATATCGACGACAGGCAATAAAAATCTATTCACTCTATCTGCTTTTATAATAATACAGAATGACTAACTCCAATTTCAACATGTTTGAGTGATGTCATTTTAGTGATATTTTTAGTTGAAAAAGTTATCTATGCAGAAAATGAGTAAGTTGATTAAAGAGGTGGTGATTGCAGTGTTGAAATATAGAACTGAGAATAAAAGTATACATTTAGGTACTACTTTCTTATGAAAGATGTTCTTAGGAAAGACACTTTATTAAAAATCTGGAGAAAATAAGTTTTTTTAGTCTCAACAATTAAAAAAATATATTTTTAATTTATCCAAATTTTCACCTCTTCAGGGAAAAAAAACTAGAGACCATATCTTTCCTCCTAGTTGTCCGATTTTAACGATTTTTTTTTTTGTTTTTTTAGGAAATTCCATAAACTTTTAAAAACCATATACAATATCGACAAATAAGCGTATACTTTTTGAGTTATTTGGAATTTAATTTTAACATCCCTCGTAACTTTTTTTCCAGCTACTTTTCGTTCCAGTATGTTATATAGATAAATTTAAAGGGTATAAAGAAAATGACTTAAGCGAAGTTTCATTGAAATCGGTACATTCGTTTAGGCGCTATAGTCTGTAGGAACGCAAGTTTTTCTGCATTTTTATTTTTTTCTCGTTTATTAATTTATCAAATTCTTTAAAAGTTATATGTAGCATTTTTTCGTAACTCTGAATAATGCGAAATGTTTAACTTTTTAAAATAAGCCATATTAAAGTTACTTTAGAGGAAGACATATATGAACATTGGGCATTTAAGCCCTGTAAAGTGACATCAACGGGGATAAGACCTGAATGATATTAAAGACCACTTTATTATACAATGATACACCGAGTTTGATCAAAATCGTTAGAGTCGTTTTTGAGAAAATTGTAAAAATGTGTTTCAGCGTTCATATAAAGTGGCACTTTTAACGATATAAAGTGCCGATTTTAACGAAAAAGTTGCTGTCACATCCGGCCCATATACAAACCTTAAATACTTTATATCAGTTTCGTACTACTTTTAGTTTATGAGCTAGACTGTTAACACATACACACAGACACACACAGAGACCATTTTGCGACACTTAGTTATTTGAACTCACAGGACCTCAAAACATGTATTTCCGTTGAAAATTGAGATTCAAAAATTTTCACGATCGCAATACTTACCCTTACTATATATTACATATATACGTAAGTGAAAGTAAAAAGAAAGATACTATTCACATATATGAAATGACGTTTATGTGATTTTTGAAGTCCTATCAAATGTAATTACACAAACAATAATAGTTTAAGAGATATTTTTTACCATAATTACATTTTACCATTTTGGGGGGACTTCATCCCGAAAGCCCCGCCCCCCCCCCGTAGATCTGCCTGTGCTTTAGGGATTAAATAACTGAAGTTTAATACTTAGGGCTAATTTCGGTCACCCAGTACCGGCGTGAATAGGTAAAAAATCCGCGCTAGATCGCCCCACCACACATTGAGAGCCATTTTTCTTGGACATGGTTATAGAACATGTAAATGATTTTGGTTTAACTTGATATTTAGTACTCTTATGTTATAAAGTGAAAGGAACGAGAACATCAAAGTAAAAATTGAAAAATTTCTACTAAAACATAGAAAATTCCGGTTTCTTAGTTTAAATCTAGAAATTTTTAGATTGGACAATAATTGATAAAGACGTCTTGAACACATAATTTTATATACCTCCTTATTAATACTTTCTATATTACTTCATATAATCGTTATATTAGAAAAACAATAAAATACAAAACATAACAGAATAGGTAACGATTTATATTAACATAAATATAATATGTATATGTAATAATTAAAAAAATGAATTGTACAAATGTATCTTTTATCAGTTATAAACATTCATTTTAGAATAGTTCTAATAGAAAAATAAATATTTTATTTTATTTTTATTACAATTAAACTTTAAACACGATCGATAATGAAAACTATAATACTTCCTTACATTTAATACTTATTATTTCCATTAATTTCAAAGATTATATTGAGAATAACTGACACAGATTTACTCATAAAGGTACAATCGAATACCCTCAGATCCTATTCATCCTACATATGACACTATTATGACATTTAGATACAATAACAGTTTGAGATTACAAATATTACATTTTGTTACTAACAGACGGATAATATTTGGCAAACGAGTAAAAAAAAATTAATTTTTCAGTTGAGGCCGTCTCGTACCTATTTACCCCACCTGACATTTAATCTTTCCTTTAGTCCATTTTACTATTTAGTTTTTTATTTATTGAGATTAGAGCGAAAATAAATGGTGGGCATTTAAATTTAAATTTTTTATATATATATATATATATATATATATATATATATATATATATATATATTGAAATTAACAACTGTATTAAATAAATACAACTAGTAAATATGAGCAAATAAAGAGTAATGGCATGAACAAACTTGTGGAGACACTATCCAATGATAGCACTCCCTAAATAGTTCTAACTAAGCAGATCACGGGGCCATCTTCTTTTCAGATGCCTGGGAGGAATATTAGGAATAGAGGAACAAACAAGGCTGGGAACAAGTGAATTCGAATGGAACTGGAGTTTGTAAGGATATAAAGTTCCGTAAGTAGAGGAAAATGTTTAAAAGGTTGGTAGTAGACAATAATATCTAAAAAAAAAAATCATATAAACAATTACCCTATTTCTAGCAGAAAAGTAGGAAATTTAAGATTTGTGTTTTTTTTTTAAGCGACAGACGATTTTTATTTAATAGGAAGCGATAACTTAAAACATATTTGATTTAAGTAATTAAACATTGTTCCAAAGTAAACTAAAGAAAATTTACTTTAGCGAAAGTAGAGTTTATCATTGTTAAAACTATTTATAGAGGATCATGGAGCAGACAAACACAACTAAGTTGCATTTAAAAAAAAAAATCATGAATTATTTGCTATTTTTTTCACCTCCCTTAAACTATACTACAATTACCTCAATTTTAGAAAAACTCCCTCTTTTAAGAAGATTTATGTCCATATTAATTAAGTTGAGATTTATTAGGAAAAATTTAGGTAGGTTCTCGCGTCGTCGACGTTTGGGAAAATAGGCACTGGTTTCAAAGCATTAATTTCTTATTTATCCGTAGTATGGGATCTATTGCAAAAATTTATTCATAAAAATAATGATTTTTAAAATATTTTTCATGTATGGTGGTTTTCTATAGTGACAGTAAGTTGAACTATAATAATATAATATAATTTAAAAAAACACATTTTTAAATAATAATATATGAAAAAGAGATACGGTCTAAAATATTTTAAAAACCCAAGAACAAATAAAAACACTAAATTACAAAATGTTCAAAATTTATGGACACGTTAGGAAAAATGTTTTAAGTAATTTCACAGGATTAGAAAAAAATTGAGTGTAAATTTGAATTTCAAAAAGTGAATTTAAAATTATTTCCTCATGAATTTACCCCCCGGGGGCCAACTAATTGTGGTCGAATTTATAGTGAAATAATTAATTAATAAAATTACCAAAAATGACCAGTATGAGGAATGTTAGCTTCATGATTGCTGCTGAAGAATGATTCTTGGTTCTGCACTGAAGAGGCAGTGCTAATCAACTAACCTTATCTTAAGTCAATTCATGTGAAATGTATGACTCAGCTTGACTCTGTATTTTACAGCCGTAGTTTCTTTTGTAATAAATTAGTCGCAGTTATTTATAACGCATTTAATTGCAACAGCTATAAAACAGTTCATATAGACTCAGAGATTTCACGTAGAAAACAGGAAATTTAAGTTTTTGTTTATTTTATTAAACGAGTTATGTTGAATAGGAAGCGATTAATGAAAAAAATATAGATATTTTTTTAAAATCTTTTTATTGAGAAATAATACATTTTACAGTACTAAAGCTGAGTGAGGCTACTATATACTATATATACAATGCAATAAAAAAAATATAATAAAATAAATATATACATCTATATAACAAAGGTAAAAACTATAAAACCAAAGAAATGTAACTTGAAATTAAATTTAAAAAAATAAATAAAAAAATACAGAAATTGGTAGCAAATTAAATAAGTCATAAGTAAAACAAATAAATATATAAAAAAGAAAAACATTCAGACTTAATATATAAAAAAGAAAAACATTCATACTTAATTTACAATATTTACAATCAGCCAAGGGAGCTCCGAGTCCAGCCCTTTCCTCCAAGTGTGAAGGACAAAGCGAGGCTCAAAGAGATCAAGAGATTCCAGCGCTTCTCTCTCAGCCGCGTCACTGGCAGGAGTCCAGTGGAAACTGAGAGAGGGCACTAAAGCAACAGACGCTCTTGACGTGAGTGGAGAGGCTGGCCATTGTCAGAACTCCAGTGACAAAAGGTCTCGAGGTCACTTCCGTTTCAACCTTCGAGGAGGGTTGTAGGGGTGAATGGAGCTGGATAAGGATTGTGCTAAGGAGTTAGGATGGTGGATTAGGTTCAGTTGAAAATTTGAGAATCGAGATGGAATAACGTAAAGGACATAAGGGATGTAAAGGTCATGATGTAGGGTTTTGTTTGTAACATAATAAGGAGCATTGACTATTATACGGAGGACTTTAGACTGAAAGGATTGGATGCGTTTGATGTTCGAAAATTTAGTTGTCCCCCACAGTTCAAGTCCGTAGGTCCAGATGGGTTTGAGTATGGTCTTGTATATTAATAGTTTGTTTTCTATTGAGAGATTGGATTTTCTGTTAAGTAGTCTGTATAGCTGGCCAAATCGTCGGTTAAGTTCTTGTCTTTTAAGTCTGCTATGTTAGTTCCAAATTAGTCTTTTGTCTAAAAGGAATCCAAGATACCGAACTCTGTCTGAGACGGGGAGAGGTACAGAGTTGAAAAGGATATGTGGACAGGATCTGCGTGGGAGGGTAAATGTGACATGCTTGCATTTGGATTCATTTATCTTAATGCGCCAATTGTTGCACTATTGCTCAATTAGGGAGATGTGTCTTTGTAGGTTTAAGGATGCTGTTTCAGGATCTGAGTGGGATGATAGGATGGCGGTATCGTCAGCGAAGGTTTGGTAGGAATGTCAGCTGTAAATAGGATGAAGAGAACTGGGCACAAGACAATGCCTTGTGGAACACCAGCTTCAATTGGATAATAGTTGGAGAATTCAGTGCCGCAGCGGACTTGAAAGGAACGATTTGAGGACTAGGTACAAGGATTGGGGTAAGTGAGTTTTGAGCTTGAAAAGAAAGGCGCTACGTCCAGAAAGGCACCGGTGCAATATTGCTTGCTTTCAAGAACAGAGGATATATGGTCAACAACGCGAAGGCCTTGTTGTACGGTGGAATTTCTTGAGCGAAATCCAAACTGATGGGAAGGGATATTGTGGGTTTCAAGAATGGGTAGGATACTTTTGAGATGGATTTTTTCAAACATTTTTGAGAGAATCGGGAGCAAGCTTATTGGTCTATAGGATGAGGTATTGTTAACAGGTTTACCTGGCTTAGGGAAGAGGATTATTATGGAGTGTTTCCATGTCAAAGGAAAGTGAGTTGTGCGGAGAATACAATTGTATAGATATATGAGGAATATAATTGCTTTTTTGGGAAGTAGTCTAAGGATCTGGGAAGTAAGGAGATCGTGTCCAGGGGATTTTCGAGGTTTTAGGTTGCGTATAAGGAATTTGACCTCAGAGGGGTTGACAGCTATAGGAGGCAAGGAGAGAGGAATAGGAGAAGAGAGGATTTTTTTAACTTCAACAGTGAGGGTGGAAAGGAGTTCGGAGTGGGGAATGAATGTTTTGGATAGGTGTTTGGCAAATCGGTTCCATCATCGCATCGGAGGGGATGCGAAACAGAATGGTATTTAAGGATTTTTCTGGTCAACTTCTAGAGGGAATTGTCATCGGTAGATAGGGAAGAGAGGTAGGAATTATATGATTGGGATCTAAGGGAAGCTAGTTCTTTTCTTGCCTGTTTGGTATAATAATTGCACAGTTTCCGATCATCAGGATGCCTGGTTATTTGCCAGATGGTCCTAGATTGGCGTTTGGATTTAATGAGGTCGGTAAGGATTTGAGGAAGAGGAATCTTTTAAAGGTATTTTTTGGAGGGGATTGTTGAGGATGCAGTCCAGACTGCTTGTTGGATCAAGGTGTTAAAGGAACTCACTGCATTATCTAGGTCTTGAGGGTTTTTTAGGGATACTCTGAGGTCTATTGCATCTGTTATTGTTTGGCGGAAAAGGTCCCAGTTGACTGGGCCTCTGATGAATGAGGGAGGAGATAACCTGGGGATAGGGGATGCGGAAAGGGTTAGATTTAGCGGACTGTGATCTGAGGTAAGGTCATCGAGCCGTAAAACTGAGTAATTTAGCGGCCCGAGACCTTTCTGAATGAAGAAGTCGAGGATATCAGGATTACGGTTAGGATTGGTTGGCCAGTATGTAAGAGTATCAGGGGGAAGTATGTTGGAATTGTGGGAATTAAGTGCAGACAGCAACGATCGCCCGCGGGGATTCGTGGTTCTGGCTCCCCACTGCTGATGTTTGGCGTTAAGGTCTGCACCTATAAGGAAGTGGTGTCCTAGGGAATTAAGAAATTAAATTAGGTTTAGGTATTTTAGGTGGAGAGTATGCTGCGACAACTGTAAGAGGAAAAAGTGAAGTTTGGATAGTTATTGCTGAGGTTTGTAGGATATTGAGAACTGGTAAAGGATAAAAGTGATGGGATAGGGACTGATGGATAATGTAAGCAGTGCTAGCACGTGCTGTTCCATCAGGGTGATCAGTTCGATATATCTTGTAGCCAGGTATGTTGAACTGTCTTTTGTTTGTTAGTCGGGTCTCAGTTATTGGGCCTATGTCTATGTTATTGTCCTGTAGAAAAAAGGTTAGTTCGTTGATGTGATTTCGAACACCATTCGCATTTCAAAGTAGAATGGAGAGGGGTTTTATTGAGGACATTTAAGGAATTCTTGGCGTAGGGATAAGATTGGCTATGACATTTGTAAGTAAGGTAATGAGCGGTGTGATGAGGAATTTGATTTCGGAGAGGAATGATAAGGTCATTGGAATTGTTAGGGGGAGGAATGTAGGATATTTGGTGAGGACTGAACTTTTGGGTGTTATTATGTTCGGGTGGTGAACCATGAGATAGTGGTTGAGTTTGCGGCAGGGCCTGAGTTTGAGTATGCTGTTCTAATTCTCTTAACATTTCAGCATAGGAGACTTCTTTGTTTGCAAAATGGCGCTGTCTGTAATCATGATTTTAAGATTTTATATGTCTGGCATCCTTTGTAATTCGCTGGGTGATCTTTATGGCATAATGCGCACACAGCAGGAGTTTGCCTGGACTTATTGCAATCTTCCGACTTGTGTTGCTGCCCGCACTTCACGCATCGCGGTAAGCGGTGGCAATAGCTTTTAGTATGGCCATATGATTGAATTATGGCATTGTACTATTTCCCGTTTTGCATACGGTTTTTCGACAACTATGCTAGTATAGTACAGGCGTCTTAATTTATAGATGTTTTCGACTCCACTGATGAGCTCAAGGTCTACGAAAAATAGTGGTAAGGCTATTTTTTTGTTTGCACCTTGTTGCTCTTTATTACCTCTAGATACATTGACAATTTGGCGGACACTGAAATCCAGTTCTGTCAATTCTTCTTTGATTGCCTCAGGTGGAGTTGTTGGATGGAGGCCTCTTATCACCACTCTTATTGCTCTCTCTAGAAATAATTGATAAGTATGGAATTCCGCCTTTGTATCTGTCAAGTATTTTACAATTTTTCTATATGATTCAGGAGAATCTGGCGTCAACTTGGTGTCATTGGTTCGACTTTGACATGTGTATTTACCATTGTTTAGTAATTTATTTAAATGCTGGCAAAATAGCGGACAATTTTTTATGTTTCTTATGAATATTGGAGGTGTTTTTGGCTCTCTGGGTTATAGTTCGCAGGGTCACAGTTCGCAGCTCCAATGCTCCAATATAGCTCTCTGGGTCCTATATATCTCTCTATATCTTGGTCTTATATATCTCTCTCTATATATATATATCTATATCCAATCTCTCTCTCTGGGTCATAGTTCGCAGCTCCAATGCTCCAATATAGAGACCCCTCCCCGTTACATCACTCCCCCCTTTAAAAGAGAGAGATCCATACCCCGTTCGTTCATGATGGAGAAAACCTCTTCGGTGCTTTGCGCTCACCTTTAGATCTCCACAAGAGGGGCGTTTCAACGGCAGTGACCTGAAGATCCGGATTCCTAGAGGTTAAAGATTCGTGGTGGCACATAAGCATCCTCAGCTGGTCCAGGTCGAGCAGCTTCCTTAGACGAGGTTAAGACGACTGTTTCTTCAGCTTCGCCGCAAGTTTTGCCGAATCCCCCACCTTCCTCAAATATCTCGAAGTCTTGCGCAGGTTTCTCATATTCTTCACCATCCTCTTCTTGGTCCGGAACATCGTCTGAGTTAATTGGCCACGAAGGTCCAGGTGTAAATCGATTTGGTGGTGAAGTGTCTGATATAAATCTCTTTGGTGGTCCTCTTCTTCTGCATTTGTAAATGCATAAGTAATAACATAATTAATTAATTTAACTAACTCTTACAGGTTTGTTTTGCACGTATCTCTGATTTATTTTTTGCAAACATTT